TATACGTATATATTTGTGTGTGTGTGCAGAGAGAGAGATAAACCATTTCCACAAAATATATTTTAAGATAAATGCTTCTTAAAATATCCGATAAATAAGTAAATGTTCTAATGTTGATTAACATTTTTAAAAGTTAAAATTGAATATTTATGCAATTACAAAAAGAATGTAGTTGAAAATACCATTTTACTTTATATATTGGGAGAAATAAGTGTAATTTTAGATGGTTGCCAATATAGCTAATTGATATTTTGGGAGTCACCACCTGAACTATTTGAGAACCCCTGAACTAGATACAAGCAGTGTATGTACGAGCAGTTGTGTAGCATCCCTTTGTAAAGAGTAGAAACAGAACATGTTGGTGTTTTATGTGGTTTATACAATTCTGTTATACTGATTATATGTGTTAATGCATGCCATACAGGTAAAAAGAAAGAACATCCTCTCTCAACTCTGGGGTTTTACATGTTGGGACATTATAAAAATGATCTGTTCCAGAAAACACAGAAGCTGTGTATGTATAGGAAAAAAAAAGTGCGGTCCATAATTTAACAGCTTTTAGAAGCAATTTTGGAAGCGGCCATTCTCAGCAGCTATATCCTCTACATTAACACTATTTCCTGACTTTGGTTATTAATACGGATGCTTCACCACATCAGTAGGGTTGCCAGATGTCACTGACTCACGTTTTCCAGCCCAAAAGATGTTCAGAAACATTTACGAAATCTCGCCCAATTTGAACCAAAGTCTATTGATCTCTTAGGCCATAAATCTAAAGAAACACCTTTTTTACCCATAGACAGCCATCCTAAATTGCCAGATTGGAAAACATCCCAACCTGGCAACAATGCACGTAAGATGGGAACCGTTAGCCTTTAGATGCAAACCCCATCATGCACCACAATATATTTTTGCAAAATATTCAAACATAAATTCGCCAAATATAAGAGGAACATCGTAGATTGGTTTAAAGAAAGCATTTTAGTTTTATTATAATTTAGTTTGTTGACAGATTTTACAGTTTGAAGAAATAGAAAATTATAAAAGCCAACCCTCACAGGGATGTGCATGACAAGGAAGGGCTATATATGTGTCTACTGCATGCATCAGGTAGGTAGTTAACATTGTATTATTTCTTGAGCTCCTTGAGTTATTTACTGTCACAGGTAGGAGCTTCGGCTGGGGAGAAAGTATTGGGTCCGGTATGACTTTAGGAGGGCCGGCCCTCGCGCTGAAATTAGGACCGGCCCACCGGGCAAATGCCCGGTATCACAGATTACCAGCCCTAGCCTGCCTAAAGCTATGTCACTCTCTAAGCAGCTGGGTGAGGTTAGCACTTATGGGACCTACAAGCACAATAACACGTCTGCATCAGTCTTGAATCTTTGTTTTTGTTTCAGGTAAACATTATGTCCAGATTCCCTTTCCTACAAGCCTCTGGTTCTCCCTTCTTTTCATCCTCTAACAAATGTTTTATTTGCCTTTTTTTCCACTGGCTTGACCATGTCTTAAAAGTCCAGAATAAAACGTTGTTTTGTAACCGGCTGTGTGCAGTGAGAGCTGCACGGCTAATAAAGGCCACGGCTTTACATTGGGTTGATGTATAGCTCTTTGTCTGATTGTGAGAAGAAGATCAGAACCACGAGGCTAGCACAGAGTCGATGGCACAGAATCATGCAAGTTTGCGTTATTTATGTTTGGGTTTTTTGACCCAAGCCATTAGGGGGAGATGACGGACCTCTCCATCCTCTCATAAACACTTTAGGTTGATTTATACTCAGAAACCAGGTCGTCTGCATGTGTGTCTCAGTGAATTGTCCCTCCTGCGTTGTGGCGTGGGATAGCATAGCGCAGACCCCGCTTCAATATTGGGCATAAAACAAAAATATCTGTGACAATCTCACTGCAAGTACCAGCCCTTTAGATTACAATCACACAGATTTAGAGGAGGATTTATTAAGAGAAAACTGTTTATTAGTGCTGCTTTAACAAGCTCTGCCCTGTAGAGTCATTTTGAATCTTCCTGCTTTGTCTGTTTGCTTTTTTTAGGGATTTTGCAAAAAAGATATGCATCTGCTATGCAAGGTGAATAATCCTTCTCTCTGTAGATGAATGGTATTACAATAGTTTGATACTGTTCATTCCTGACGTCTCTCCACTTTCAAATTGTATTTACATCAAGTTGTTGGATCCAACCGCTAAACTGCAGAAATTCCTGCTTTTAGAAAAGCAGTTACATGTGCAGATTCTCAAATAATATACATTTTTATTGATTTTAATCCAAACAACGTTTATATTGTCCCAATAAACTGAAACCTAGAATTAAGAGTGTAACGTTTGACTGTAGTCAGCGACTATTGTTTGGGGTTAAGGAAGAGTTTTGCCCACACACTGTATTTATCTGCAGGTGAGGCATCCAGCATGCCGTCAGAGCAGCTGAGAAAAGTTCAGAAAAGGTTACCTGAAGATGCAGAAATGGCTGTTGATGCTCTGGATGCTCCCTGCTTAGTAAAACCTACAAACGAAGAAGATGCTGCAGCCAGAAGTCAGATGCAGGACGGCGGCAAAGGTCGGTACAGCAAAGAATGAAACTTCACACATTCTTTTTCATTTCTAATTTAAATTTAGTTCAACCTTAAATTTAATTTAGACCTCAGATTTATTATCTGGAGGATATGCTTCCCAGTTTATGTCAGAAATAAAGGGCAGAGCTAAGATTATGAAGCTTTCTCTTTCCTAAATTTGACAAAATATTCATGTTTACAGAAAGAAAACCTTCTTATAATATAAAAATGTAACATATCCACCTATAAACATGCAAACATATAGAAGGAATGCAAACTGTAATGTTTAAACTTCTGGATTACCGAACTAATCCTCCTTCTGTTGACATTCTAATATAATTCGAAGTTGTTAGATATATTCAATGCATTTTTAAGTTTTCCATTTTTCAGTGATGAAGGGAATTGATTTGCAGTAAGATGACATTCTGAATGTCAAACTGAGAAAAATATGATAAGCTTAAGAATAAAGTCAGGATGGAAATCTTTCCCTGTAACCTCACTTACTATTATTATTATTAAAATTTACTTTAAAGCTGTTTGTAGCAACATTAGGAGTTTAGGTTTTTTTTTTTATTATTTTCTAACAAATAGAGAAAAATGAGGCATAGTCCAAAATCTGACTTTTGAAAAAATATGACTTTTGATCATAGATACCAAGGTGAGAATTGTGCAGCCATCAGGAAGTAAATGTTAGACGACTTCTGATGAAACCTTGAATGTTTAGTTTTGTTTTTTCATTGTTCAACATTGATTCTTTCAATTCTCTCTCAAAAATCCACTATTCTCTGATCAAAACACGGATATTGCTGTCACGCAACGAGGGTGTATTTTATTTGTTTGCATCACATGGTTCCTGCAGCTTTATCAGAAAGAAGTCTGATGGCAGAACATCGCTAATGTGTGATGCTCATTTAAGACAAGTTTTATTTAAAATATTTTCTGTTCTTCTGAAACGGAATAGACAAAATTCTACTTAAAACAGAAAATGAGGCAGAACATCATTAGTTAGTTAAACTGTTGTTAAACATAAGATATTTCAGTGATAAATGCTGAATAGAAATCAATCAGCTTAACAATCAGCTAGCAGAACGTTTGTTTCATGTGTAAATGTCAGCAGCAGGATTATTCACCTTATATTTTCTAAACCCAATAATTAATTAAGCTTTTTGAATTTCTTTCTCCACTCTTCCATAAATGGAGAAATTCCCCTTCAGGACTTCTTTTCTGAACCTTAGTTTTCCAGATATTTCAAATCCTTTTAAATTATAATCACAGCATTTTTTGTAAACATGTTGTATAAGCTTTTACATCATTTTCATACATGTAATATGGTTTAATGCTAAATAACCAAATTTCAATAACTGTAATTCAAAAAATAAGGTATGTGCTACTTCTTACAATTCTTAATACCCTTTTTTTGTAAAATTAAAAGTGGTTTATATTTTTATTAATATATATTTGATAGGTTTTATATTTCCATATATATATATCAGATGTGGAAAAATCAAAGTTGTTTTCACGTATTTAACCCCAAACCTTAATTAAATTCACTTTTTCACTGAGAGTTCCTTATATATCCACTAATAGTTAAGTATACAGTAGTACAAAAATCACCAAATACAATAAAATATGAAGTTGAGGGTCTTTATTTGAATACAAATCTATAGTCAGAGAAGAGAAGAGGAAACAAAGTTCATATTTCAATAACAATAATTTTATAACATTTTATTATGGAGTCATTTTACAGTCAAACGGGGAGATTCGGATTTCATTTTTGTTTTTGCTTTCTTTTTTCATGTAATGGTTTACTGAATTTATCAGTTTGTGATGGAAAAATGCCCTTCAGTTTCCTCCTGGTTCATTTGATTGCATTTGGTCTGCAGGTCACTCTAACACAAAACAAAATAATAGATGGAAGCGAAAGATTCGTGCAAGTGAGTGCCCCTTCTGAATGTTTCCATTCTCTGCTTTTTTCTTTTTTTTTTTACTAACTCTTGTTTTATGCTGCAAGATTTTATAGTTTATTTAATGTCTGCAAGTCTTTCCTTGTTTTGTAAATGGTTCACTGCTGATCGGCTGGTTTTCTGGTTGAACTGTGAAGAATAATAGGACCAACAAACATTCTTTATGTGTGAATGTTTAGTAAAAATCCAATATAAATACAGGTGCCTCTCAAAGTATGAATCCAACACATGATTTTGCTTCTTTATTCACTGAATTAATACATTACATGTAAATTGTTTATTTTGTTATATAAGCTTTTCATTTGACTGTAAATTTAAAAATATAAATGCACCGGTTCTATACGACTGACCTCCACAATCAGACAGATTCCCAGTTTAAAAGTTGTGCAGCAGACAGGAACCGACTGCTGGGAAGTTTCTGGTGGAAAAATGTTGTTAAGCAACAGGAATGATTGGAGCCTGGAGGATTATTGACCAACAGATGATGCGTTTGAGGGAGATTCACAAGGAATTGACGTCAGCAGACTCTGCGCTTGGAGAGCCCCTCAGACCTATGAAGAACATGAACTACAGCTGATGCTTTCCTTATATGAAGCAAATCCGGAAACCATAGCAACAGATGCTAGTGTCCAGGGTTAGGAGGAATAAAGACTGGACAATTTCTCTGTGGCTAAAATGTCCCTTTTTAGATGAAAGTGAATTTTTCATTTAATTTGGAAATCAAGTCGGAGTGTAAGTGGTGCCTTGCAGTAAGAAGATCCTTGGTTTAAACCCCTGCCTACAGTTTTTTAAGTTTTTTTTTTCATTGTTCTCTGTATGCATGCCTGGGTTCTCTTCTGGTACTCAGGGTTCCTCCCACAATACATAAACATACATATTGTATTGATTTATCTCTAAACTGCTCTTCGAAGTGAGTTTATGTTCTGTGTTGGACTTGTGACCCGTCATCCCTTTGTTTACTCGGCATCTCAGCCAATGAAAGAGGGAGATTGGCCCTAATGGTATCCTGTAAGAAAAACTGAGTATGGAAAGGATGGTGAAATAAAGGTCCAAGAGTCTGGAGGAGTGGAGAGGCAGAGACTTCCAGTTGCTAGAGATTCAAAGTCCCTAACAGAGATGAACCATGTTCTCTGCTGGTTATGTCTTATTCTGTTGACAAGCTTCATTTTACACAATGATAACAAATCTGCCCAAAGGGCCATAAGGGCCGATGTCAACCTTAATGGGTGAGCTATGGATTAACCAGCTACCTGGGCTAACCTGAACCAC